TTGGATGGATGATGGATGGATTATGGATGTTGGATGGATGATGGATTGAAGTAAGACCTTCTCCTGGGAAATTAGATCAGCATCTTGTTTTTCTCTGTTCAGATTATAAACCACTTTATAAGAGACAACCTGCATTAAAAAGAACAGTAAGGAGATGGACACAGGAAGCTGAAGAAGCCCTGCAAGGTTGTTCTGAGGCTACAGACTGGGATGCTCTGTGTCAGCCACATGGAGAGGACATCAAAGCAATGACTGAGTGAGACTGACTACATCAACTCCTGTGTAGAAAACACCATCCCTACCAGAACAGCTTCCCAGATAATAAAGCATGAATCACAGGTGATCTGAAGCAGTAAAACAGTATTAAATGATTTATTTAATCGAAGGAGAAAAAAATCTTTCCTGCGCCCTTTTAACCTCCCGAGTATATAGCACCTGTTTAAAGTTGCACAAACCATCTGCAGATCAGGCCTCTAGTGTCAATCATTAGATTAATTAAAGATGAATTTAGTAAAATCTGCCCAAGAGGCTGACATTAAAGTGTATTTTAGCTGCAATCCAAATGCTTGGTTTTAGAAGCTCTGCTATCTCAGCCGGCCTTTCATTCAAGAGGCTTTCTAAATTGCCGGCTCAGTAAAAATCCAGGGAGCAACAGGAAAGATTAAAATAGGGATTGTTGTGATGTCATGCTGTGAAGTCACTGCTGCCTTTTGGAGATTCAGAACAGGAAGCAGAATCTGCCAGGTGACAGTTTGGTTTAAATGTTCTCAATTGTTTCGTTTCCAAACCCGGAGGGGCAGCTTTTTTCCCATGCTAAAGGACAGCTGCTCTGTGTGTAAATTGGTGGACTCTCATAAATAAGCACATTCTTCTAAAGGGAAACATTACAAGTGGGAAATTGAGTGTTTGCTTCAGTGTCTGTCTGAAAGGCCTCTAATACAAAGGCGAGTGTGTATGCTAGTGTTTGATATGGCCTTGGTTGCAGAAAACGTATTGTTTCTGATTGTGTGAATGTTAAATTGATCATTATCATAAATAGTACAATAGCTTACTAATAACTGCAATGAAGGTCAGGAAATGAGATAACATTCATACAGACTATTTATGAATTTGTCAAACTGCAGATGCTTAAGGTTTTATTTCAGTTCCAAAATAAATTTACTACTTTTTTTTAGTACAACATGATTTCAGACCAGCAGCAGAATCTAGTTGTAAAACCAGAGAAAAACGACATGTTTGATTAATATTAATAATCATTCTTGGTTTGCACAGAAATCTCAATTAATGTTATTATTAAGCTTTTAATTTTCTCTCCAAGAGCATAAAAAATATGATTAAAAACTTGAAATGAAATGGATGCATGAATCTTCATGCTGTACTGAAACATTTTGATCAGTTCTATTAAATTATTTTGCTCACTCAGTTCATCCAACTAAATTTCTGGTTCATATGCAGTTATAATGAGTAAAAACAACGTTGCTTCTCTGTAAATAATGAGCTATAACTGTATTTCCTTTTCATTTACATTAAAAATAAAAACATTCAGTGTTGTACTCAGAAAAGTTTAACTTCCATTGATGTTATTTTAAAATAGATCGAAAGGATCAGGAAGATGTTTCTGGTTCTTGGTAATGCAGACGGGGGGGAAGCAAATGGCCGCCAGTGTCCAGGCTACCGTCAACCAGGTCAGGTTTGGTCGCTCCGTCCCCCGCTGGCTCCCTGCCCCCGTCCGCCGGGGTTCCCGGACACGGCCCGGAGCTGACGGCTCAGTTCTGCTGCACTGTAGTCGACCAAAATCCCGAATGATTTTGAAATTCCCCCCAACATTTTTTTTAGGTACGGAAAGTAGGACATGTCGGGAAAAAGAGGCCGTCTGGTCACCCTACCATATCAACAATTAGATGTTTCAGTAAGTGAGTGCTTGTTGCTATGATGCGTCTTTGCACAGCAGCTTTGCTCATGTTAAACCAACCAATCAGCACACAGCTCATCTAAATATTAATGATCAGACCATAAAAGGAAGAAAACCTGTCGTTTCATTGTAGGACTTTTAACCAGGCTGCATTAGGGCTCATAGAACAGAAAATATGCCATTTTTAGCCCAACCAATGTTACACACCCTATTCAGAGACCTTTAAGGACCAGATACCCTATAGAATCATTCTATCACACCTTTTTAAGAACACGTATTATATAAATCTAGTATCTATTCCATATCAAACTATCTTGTAATTTCTGAGTGAATAACACAGTGCTGCTTTCTGTAGGATACAGTGTTTCATTCACATGATAATGGGCTCAGTTTCAGCTTGATCACCTTCTGATTCCTCCACCAGGCAGGTTAGTGGATCAGTGGAAATCACTCCTTAGCTCTGTTTGACCCATAGGTTCAGGACTCTCAGTTCAGGCATGATCAAACAAATCAGGTGAAATCCTCGTTATTTTCTGTACAGTAACACTTATTGAATTGCTTCTCTTGGTGCGCACTAGGTTAGCCGAGGGAAGCTTGATTTCCTGTCTGTTTAACTTTGGCCATTAGTTTAGCAGATACTGAGTGAGTTTACAGACGCAGAGGTCCGTACTCCAACGCCACACGCTAACTGAGACTGAACAGAATATAGAATCAGTAAATAAAATGATTCGATTCCAGGTGGCTCAGATAACGGTCTGTTTGTTTTGAATGACTCAGTCATTGAACGCACCACAACAATTGAATCTCAGATGAAGCACAGTTATAGTTGATGATTCCTTTACAAGTGGAGGAAACATGGAATAGGAGCCTTCCTACCAACATTACTCTGGGGTACGTAGGCTGGATGTGTTTGTGTGTGGAGTTTCTCTGATGCCCTGGAAATCTTCCATAAAGATTTCTGTATTTTATGTTAGATATTTTCATCCCATCTATTAAATTTAGAGCACTTGTTGATCTTTTCTCTTCTTCATAAGAGAACAGCAAGCATGGCAGGCAATATGGCCTTTTCTTGACCTGCTGTATATCAGCCAGTCCTCTAGGAGCTAGAATAGGTTAGATACTTTAAAAATTCTCTGCCCTCTGAATCTGCTGGCAGTTCATTAGCCATCTATTAAGAAAGGCTTCCTTTTTGCCTTTTCAAACATTGACTCTATCAGAATCAGTGATTATTGTTGGCCATAATGCCGGATCATTGAAATTAACGGCATGATCCGTCTCTGAGCAACATTGCTCAGACTCTGGCAGTAAGCCCCTCTACCTGCACTGTCTGTTATCGGTAGAGATGTAAAAGGAAATGTGTTCCCCCCTTATACTAGCTAGCAGATTCTATACTTTAAAAGCCCATTGATAAATGCATTGCTTCTTAACTGGCTCTGAATGGGCATCATTCTTCTGATATTCCATTCCTGGACCCGTTCCTGACTCCTCCTCAGTTTATTTTTAATATTTCCTCCTAAAATCACTCAAGCTTTTGGTGTCATCTTCCCATTTTCCCACTTTTCTAATCTGTATGTCGGACTACTGAAATCCTGACATTCTTAGTTTGCAGCAATGGAATTAAGTTACTCTAATATTAAATATCTTTATCACAAATATTTTCTGAAATATTACTTCTGCCTGTATTTTTAATTGTCAGACTGTCTAGTTTAGACCCCCCCTCTGTTCCCAGCCTGGGACAATTGATCCGTGTGTCCCGCCCTGTTGGCGGGCATGCAGCAGTCTGTCAAACATTTAGCAAAGAAACCCACAACTTGATGAGTCCCAAGACATGGGGGGAAATATTCTGTGGTCTGACAGGACAATAGTGGAGTGTTTGGGAAGGTCTGCTTCTGCTTTTACTTAATTAAACAGCATTACAGAGAAGGGGACACTATACCCACTAATGGTGGCAGTGTCTGGAGCTGGAAGCAATCATTCTGCTCTGGATCTGAGGACACCAGCAGAGAACCTCAAGCCATCAGTTTGGGATTCTTGGCGTTGGATTATCTGCAGGACCATGATGCACAGTGAAGCTCCGCCTTTGAAAGGCTCAAAAAGTGGAGCGGCCTAGTCAAAGTTTTGATTTCAACCGGATGAAAATACTGGGGCATTATGCTGGTGAAGATTCTCAGTCATCAGGAAGGTTGTTTTCTCTTTGAACAGAGGAGGTGGATGCAGATTTCAACTTTCAAAACTCTACAATGCAGCAATTGAGCTGATTCCTTCCTGCTATCATTGCAACCGTAACCCTTTTACAGGGGAACAGAAGACCTTGCCTATTCAGCTACTGTATAAAACCTCGAACTCAACGGTATTTCTCACATTTTGGATTGAAAAAGCTTCCTGGATGGGAAGAGAAACGTCTTCAGTCTTGAAAACAAAGTCCAGTGGATTGCTTTTTAACATTTTTGGAATACTGGAGCATTATCTGAAACTACTGGAAAATTTTGGGGTTTTTTTCCAAAAAGAATAATTATTTAAAAACTGATTATCTTTGTCTGACATCCTAAAACATGGTTTTATTCAAACATTTGATTGAGAATAAAAAATAAATCAGGATATGAATATAAGGATAGAAAACATGCAGATATGAGGGCATGAATAGTTCTCCACAGAATTGTAAAAACTCGCTTTGTGAAAAATGTTGCTGTCATAATCAGTTATTGCCGGGGTGGGAATTTCCAGTTCCTGGGGGCCGGTGTCCCGAAACTTTTAGATCCATCCTTGGTCCAACACACCTGAATCAAATGGCTGAATTACCTCCTCTGTACGCAGTCGCTTCCTCCACAGTCCTCTGTATCATCTAATTATTTGATCCAGGTGTGTTGAACCAAAGGCTCATCTAAAAGTTGCAGGATCCCGGCCCTCAGCAACCGGAATTGCCCACCCCTGATTTATTGGAATTGTTTGACTGTATGCTGGAGTCTCTCTAAGTGAAGGTGTTTCTTGTTAATCACAGGAGCCTTTACCAAAGCCAGACATGGAGCAGAAGCTGCGTTCAGCCTCCACTGTAGATGAATTGATGAGTCTGATCTATCCCTCTTACTGGGCTGCTCTGAAGTGCAGATCCAAACTTTCTGCTGCTGCCTCCCCAGCTTCCGAATTCACTCAGCGCTCACAGACTCAGCGGCTGCGGCCACCAGCAGACGCAGAGGAGCCGATATACGCAGCTGCCTACCTCAACTTGGACGTCCTTAAAAGTAGGTTTCCTTTATTTCCCTCACTTATATTTTTGAAGCATAAATCCTTCATTTCCAGGTGAATTTTACCATAATGAACATCTATGTCATGCAGTGCTATGCTTATATGACCTGTAATGGTGCGTTCACTCTGGGCGCGTTCTGGGTGTCAGCGTCTGATTTACATGCAAAGCACTGCGTCAGAGCGTCTGAGCATCCAAGTGTCCAACGCCTTAAAAACAAGTTAAAACAATTTTACCAACTCATAAAGTAAATAAAGCCAAGCTGTTCTCTAGCTTAAAGCTACAGAACGGAGCAGAACAGAGCATCAATGCAACTTGAATACGGTTTGATCCAGCGTCCAAATTTCAGGGTTTAAGCATTTTTGATGCACATAATGGCTTTGGAGTGAACGCAGCATAAGTTCTGTTCTGACAACATGAACATGGGTGTTAATGGCTCCTAAAGGAAGCCATTCTGATGTGAGAGCTCTAGGCCTAGATTAGTGTGTCTTCTCCTTTAAAGTAAACTGGGGTCTATTTAGTAAATAAAGCAAGAGTTTCTGAAGGACAACATATCAGTTCTTCTTGTTCCTTGTCAAGCAGAAATAGTTCAGATAAAGATAAGATCAAACAATCTACATGCAGGACTTTCTCCTTTAAAAACAATGGAAACCTGCAACATCGTACGCTGATTTACAGCTTCCTTCCTACAGACATCAGGCTGCTTTTCTCCCACATATTTTCTGTTCTGTTTCAAGTTTGGCAAAAAAAAGTGAAGATTTCACAAAACAAAATGTTTCTGGATTTTTAACATTGAGAGTTTTGGGTCCGCCATTATTTTGACATTCTTTGCAAAACTTTACAGGAACTGGAGGCTTTGTTCCAGGAAGATTAGGCAGATTTATGGGTAAAGAAAATAACTCCTAGAATTGCCACATAACACTGTAGGATGTCAGTGACAGTAAAAAGGCATCATTACCCTTTGATCAGGGTCATTCAGGTCAGTGTTTTCTATTATTCTTACAATCTAAATCCAAATGGCTCCAGTTATGAGTTCCTGTAACACGCTCCAATTGTTTGCAGAAAGATTGCAAAATAAATCAGATTGTTTCAGAATATTTGAACTTCTGGACGAATCTGTGCAGCCAGAGGTAGGAACCTTTAGTTGACCTAACAAGTTGATAACCAGTTATCTGGTAGAACTGGAGTGCAGCAGTTTAGTTCAGATGATTAATCCCTAATGTTCTGTCAACAGTCATACTATTAGTCTCTGGTGATAAATCTAACAGTGATGACTGGAATCTGAAAAAGGACATAAAGACATGTTGCAAACAGCCACCTTTTTTGTGTGCAGGTATAGAGTTGGAGTGGAGGAAAACTCAATGCATGCCCAGAGAAGTGTGTGTTGATGTGGGCAGGGAGTTCGGGGCTCCCACCAACGTCTTCTATAAGCCACCGTGTGTGTCTGTATATAGGTGTGGAGGATGCTGCCCCTCCGAGGACAAGCAATGCCGAAATATCTCCACCGGTTACGTCAGCAAAACCGTAAGTTAACCACATTCACACTAAAGATTTACACTGATGCTGTTTTCTGTGGTAAATTCAAATGAAAGAGGAACTGCAAGATGACTTTTACATCAACGCATTAACATGCATTGAATCTGATCTAAGAGCTTTATGGACTCTGGGTTCCCCTGCTTCCAGCAGATCCGTGGTTCCATGTTGCCCTCCTGTTTCCGAAGCATCACTTTGAAAGCTGGACACCAACATTTGAAAATCTTGGCTTCTCTCTAGCTGAGTTGGTTGGTTGATCAAAACAAACATTGGATTCACTGAGGCTACGTTCACACTGCAGGCATTGATGCTCAAATCCCATTCTTCTGTGTTGTCGTTCACACACCCAAATATATGCGACTTGTATCTGATACAACACAAGTGTCTCGCATGCGCAGAAGAGGACGCAATGACGTCACAAGCAGAATGCGTGCTCTGTGTGTATGGCAGTAAACATGGATGGTAGCTCTGGAGCGCATCCAGCCATCTTTCATTTCTTTCCCAACCTCAGGAAACAATCTTTCCAAGATGGTTGAAAATAAAGACTGCTCTCTGCATTATCCTCCACCATGGCTGTTGGTTTTCTTGCCTCTTCTGCGTAGCAAGACCTTTAAGTATTAATGGCATTCAGGATGAATGCGACCTGGCCGTTCAGGCACAGGTTTCATTTGAAAAGATCAGATTCGTATCGGATTCAGGACCACAGAGCCAAGTGGCCTGGGTCGCATTGGAAAGAATCAGATCTGTGTTGTTCAGACAGTCATGAAAAGATCAGATCCAGGTCGATTTGGGTGACTTCAGGCTGCTGTGTGAACGTAGCCTTAGATTTTGTATTTGAAACTTTGGAAACAAACTGATACAATAGTTCAAGCTACCAGCGGAGGAATTGAAATGATTGGTTTCTGATACCGAGCTCAATCATCTGAAATGAGTTTCATGAACATGAGTTAAACTTCCAGGTTTGGTGTCACATATTGAAAGTACAGCATTAGTTAATTCCTCCATAGAGACTAAGTCAAATTCAAGCCACTCATTTTACCCAGAATTCAAACCCATGGGTGAGCTCCACCTTATATCATATCCAGTGACAACAAAGGTGGACTTCAAAGTTGTGATGTTGGTTGCAGATGATTTTCCTGCAACTGGAGGGTTGCCGGTTTAAATCCCAGCTCAGTCTATCTCAGGCAATGTGCCCCCTGCTGGCTGATAATTATGATCAGAAGACCTGCTGACGCCTGCGTACGGCAGCCTGCTTTCTGTCAGAGTTGCCCAGGCAGCTGTGGTTGTGATGCAGCTCCCCACCACGAGTGGATGAATGATCAATACCAGTATAGGGAGTGTTAGGGTTCTCTCTGGGTACTCTGTCTTCCTCCCACAGTCCAACAACATGACTGTTAGGTTAACTGGCTTTTCTGAATTCTCCTTAGTGTGTGTGAATGGTTGTTTGTCCTGTTTGTCTCTGTGTTGCCCTGTGTGGACCCCGCCTCTCACCAGTAGACAGCTGGAGATAGGCACCAGCATCCCTCGCTACCCCACTTGGGATTAAGCGTATCAGAAGATGTCTGATTGGTTACCAAAGCCAGTCTTGGTGATGGTTGTCATGTTGTCGTTAGCAACAATAATTTATCTCAGTACAGACTACCATCTCAGAAGAATGTTTCCTGAGCCTTGTTGAGTCTTTGCTGCGGAGCGTTATGGCAGAAAGCCTAGGCTGATAGCTCACAGTAACTTAGCATGCTGCCAAACGGGTTTTTCACATTTTAAAGTCTTTACAAAACAAATGATTGGAAGGTTTTTTTGTGTTTTTTTTTTTTTTATTTTTGTTGTGAAAGAATAATTGTTTTTAAAACTGATTTCTTAAAACTGATGATTTCTTTTCTTTAACATAAACATTCAGGGATGCTGTTTACATTATACGTCCTTGGACACAGCTGAGAAAGAGAGATCCTGTCTTTTTTTCCAGCATTTATTGTCATTCCACTGTCACAAGTACAGAGCGATGAAATGTACTCTCTGCATTTAACCTATCCCTTTGGGGAGCATGGGCTGCCATTGTGCAGCTCCTGGGGGAGCAGAGTGGGGTTTTTGCTCAGGGGTTAAAGGTCTTTCTGAGGCATATAAGAAACCGTTTGATGTGGATGTCTCAGATAAAGTCCTTATGTGTCCTTTGGTGGACAGTAAACGCTGCTGCCTGCTGTCGTCCTGAACATCGTTTTCGAAGAACTTGGAATTGATAAAGATCACAACACATGTTTTCCATAAAGACTTCCTGAAGAGGAATATCAGCCCAAGTGACATCTTCCTGTATCTGGATTGGAGCAGGAAAAGAGAGCAGCCTCACGTATCATAAATATGTTACAGAGAACATCTGGAAATATTGATTCAAACGATGAGAGGAGGCATTAACAATAAAACTACAAAAATACAACATGGCAAATCTCCATCCTCATCGGTACTGAAGAGAACGAATCGGTTTAACAACATGTAATAACTATTATTCTATGTCTGAATTGTCTGTGAGAAAAGGAGAAAATCCAGAAGGCAAGAGCTGCTCCAGATGTGTAAATGCTGAGTCCTTTCAGTCCGTCTTCTTGCCAAAGTGAAGAGATTTTAGAAAAACTAAAAATTTTGATAGTAATAAAAAATGTGAAAACATAATAAAATCAAAATCCATTCATTTTATTCACAATGTCGGTTCACTTCTCAGTTTTATTAAACAAAAAGCACAACTAATAATAATGACACCTTTTATGGTCTCTTT